TTCAAACTGCAATCTTTAGAGTTCAGCCTTCTGGGTAGCTAGGATCGCAGGTATGTGTGATTGGGATTGGCTTCCTGGGAAACTTTCAAGGCCAGCTCCTAGGACTATTTTCAGGTATGATGGTATCTGCAACCTTTGGGTTGCTTGTGGCTCTTCTGCAAAAAGACAACCCCAATAATGTGTTCAAGGCTTGATAATTACAAAAGAAACACATGGCTAGCAGGATCAAACCCAAAGTCTTCCTCTGGCTATAGATTCCAGGAGAACCCCAGAAACACGGGGTCCAGTACGCATAACAACACCCTACAGAGTCCTGGAAACATGACCGTCACCCAGATGTCCATGCATAGACGGTGTAACTGGTACCCAGAAATGGCTGCATAAACTTGTAATCACATGTTGGTGCTTAACAAACCATATCAAAATACACAGTGGCACCAGGTGCTAGTGGCTCATGCCTGTAATCCTAGCTACTCAGGAGGCTGAGATCTGAGGAAAGCAGTTCGAAGCTAGCCTGGGAAGACAAATACAAGAGACTCTTATCTCCAATTAACTAGTAAAAATCTTCAAGTAGAGGCGTGACTCAAATGGTAGAGCATCAGCCTTGAGCAGAAAAAGCTCAAGGGTGACTTCAGGCCCCAGTACCAAAAACAGAAAACATAGTGGCATGGGTTCTAGCCCCAGTACCGAAAGAAAAAAGGAAACAAAAACAGTTCAGCTGTAATCAAAACCATTCATTTGCTCTCAGTTTTATATTGTGGGGACTTATCTGCTCTCCATGCGGCATTAGCCAGGGAAATTTGTACCAGATCAGCTTCCAAGATGGTCCCCACATGGAGGCCTAGATGCTGCCGGCGGCTGTGGGGGTGGAGTCAGACTGCAGGTGATTTCTCCCAGCCCGAGCTGAAATTGCTGGTCGTCAGGCTCAGGTTTGGCTACAGACTCCCTCTCCAGTCCCAGCCATTTGTTCTCTGTAGAAGTTGGGGCATAGGGGTGTGTGTGAGGAGCAACTGGCTGGTAGTGCTTACAGCTGAGTCCTGATAGTGATGCTTACAGCTGAGTTCCTCTGCTGCTGGTGCTTATAGCTAAGTCCTTCTGGTGATGTATATAGTGGAGTTCTTCTTTGGGACTCAACCTTGGGTAAAGGCACTCTCTGCCTAAGGGCCCATCCCCCTGCAGTAGGGGAAGCCACATCAGATGACTGACTATGAAGTGGTCCTCTGTCAGTCATCTGGATCCATCCATGCCAGAGCCTCTGGTCTCTGTCAGCGCCATTCTTCTTTCTGCCACACTGTTTCCTTAATACCCAGATGCGCGTGGATGACAGATGCACCCTCTCCCCACAATAGCCATCCTTCAAATGAAATCTGTACTTCCCTGCATTTTCTGGGAAGCCTGACTGAGGTACTCACGAAGGTTAAGTGATTTCGTGGAGTCCTGAGGAATCCTTTTCCTAGGCACAGTGACTTCTGGGTGCCAGGCTAAGACCTTCGCTTACTTCATGAAGATCAGAACTTCAGGCCAAAGGAATGGGTTTCTAACGATGACGTCTGAGCTTTAGGTGGGAGGTTTGGTGGGGGAGGGGCTGCAAATTTGGTCACCAATTTTTCTTTTTCTTTTGCCAGTCCTGGGGCTTGAACTCAGGGCCTGGGCACTATCCCTGAGCTTCTTTTGCTCAAGGCTAGCTAGCGTTCTACCACTTTGAGCCACAGCCCCACTTCCGGCTTTTTCTGTGTATGTGGTACTGAGGAACTGAACCCAGGGCTTCATGCACGCTAGGCAAGCACTCTACCACTGAGCCACCTTCCCAGCCCCTCACCAGTTTTCCTGTGATACCCTCTGGTCAGTCCTGGTCCTGGCGCCGGTGGGAAAAGCCCCCGCTCTCACGGGCCAGGGCTCCCAATCACCTTCTATAAAAAGCAAGTGGTCATGAATGGGATTGTTCTGCTTTTTCTGTGAAGTCTCCCTTGTCGGGAGCGCCTGTGAGGTGATTTCTCTGAAGGCCGGCTTGCCTTGTGTGGACTCCCCAGAGCCTTTCTCAGAACTGCTACCATTGTCCCCACTTCCTCTCCCTTCCTGAGCAGCTTGCACACAGAGCACTCACCAGCAGCGCTGTCTTTTGGCCTCAGCTCCTGTCACCTGTCTCCTCGGTCCTCTTCATCTCCGTTGCCCAGGTAGCGGGAAGTTCCGGGACCCTCCTGCTGCCCTCCACCCCAGGCTCAGTCTCTGTCCATCCTTAGATACCTCCTTTCTGGGAGCATGCCCAGGCAGCAGGCTGCGGCCAGGACTTGCCCTCTGGTCCTCGGGAACAAGTCCTAACATGCCTAGCTGAGGAGCAGAGGAGGCCGGAAGCTACTTCACCCAGGGGACCCCACCCCCCTCGTCCTGGGAGGCCTTGGCCCATGTTTCTGTGGACACAAAATGGGTGATTTTCAGGTTGTTTGGGGCAGGCTAGGGACCTGGGGTATGTGACGAGTATGTGTGTCATGTGTCTGTCTCTGAATGTGTGTGTATGGATGTGCATGTATAAGTATGTCTCTGTGTATGTCTGTATGTGTGGTTGTGTGTCTCTATGTGTGTGTTTTTATGTCAGTGTGTGCATCTCTGTATATGTATATATGTATGCTTACATGTGTATGCACTTGTCTGTGTCTGTGTGTCTGTCTGTCTACATGTGTATCTGTGTGTGTATATGTGTTTGTGCGCATGTGTGCGCACTTGAAGTCAGAAGGGCCTTCGGCTCCCTTGCCCCCTCAGGGCTGATGTCTTGTCTGGAGCGTGTGCCTAGCCCATGGTCAGTGCGTGTGCATGTGCACGGCTGCAAACATTAAAAAAAAAACAAAACAGTAAAGAAGAGTTAGTAAGTGCTTCATAAATATTTGCTTGAATACTTTTGTGGTGTAGTGGGGACCCAGAAGTTATTTTAAAAATGGACTTCCCAACCTTAGCAACAACAAAAGAATTACTTCACTGTGAAGCTCAGGACCATAAAATGTCAAATAACTCACCACAAGCCTTCATTAAAAATGTGTTTTCCAATAAAAAATGTAAAAAAAAAATGTTTTCCCCGCAAAGTAAGCAGTCAGACAATGTCAAGCCTATTTGAAATGCCTGCAGGCAGGCCAAGAGAGAACTGGCACTGCAGGAGGGCTTGCCTGGGGCCGGGCTGCAGGAGCTGGGGTGGGCAGGGTCCCAGCCCAGATCCAGGCCCGGCTCAGAGCCAGGAGGGCCAAGGATGGGAGACAGGTTCCTCCCAGCCCCCATGCTCCACAGATCAGGCCGGTCCTCCCCGAGGTCAGCTGCATTAGAGGAAGAACGCTGGGCATGTCTGGGCAGAGATTTCCAGACAGCTCGAACCTCAGCTGTCAGAAACTGTAGCCACCCCAAAGCCAGATTCTATTCTATTTTGTGACATATCTTTCAGACAAACACATCATTGACTACAATGTTCTTTTTTTTTTTTTTTATTAACTTTGTTTCCCCCTGGGACAAGGTCTCACTATTTAGTCCAGGCTGTCCTCGAACTCACCATCCTCCTGCCTCAGCCTCCATGGGCTTCTGCCACTTTTTTTTTTTTCTGGTTGTGGGGCTTGAACTCTGGGCCTGGGCGCTGTCCCTCAGCTCTTCAGCTCAAGGCGAGTGCTCTACCACTTGAGCCACAGCACCATGTCCAGTTTTCTGGTGGTTCATTGGCGATAAGAGTCTCATGGAATTTCCTGCCCAGGCTGGCTTTGAACCACGAACCTCAGATCTCAGCCTCTGGAGTAGCTAGGATTACAGGTGTGAGCCCCCAGCCCCCCAGCTTCTGCACCATTTGAAAAGCAAAACTGTCCATTTGAAGAGGAGGGAGGAGGCAAAGGTGAGCAGAGACAGTGGAGGTGTATGGTCCTCCACTTCTGCCTGTCAGGAGCATCAGGGGACACTTCTGGAACTGCCCTTTGTCAATGTCACCCCTCTAAACTGCCTGGAAAGGAGGGGGTGGGGGCTGGGCTTTTTTCTCCCTCTGAAAGGCAGAGGAATGGAGAACAAGCAGAGAGCTCTAGGCAGGATGCAAAGGACCGGCCCCAACTTTCACTTGCTGTGCTAGTTCAGTCAGATCACAGGACTTCTCTGAGCCTCCTTCTATGTGAGGGTACCCTGGAGAGAACTGGGTCCCCAAATTGGTCTCACTTCCCTTTCTCTCAGGCCTGCTGGCTTTGTCCTGGCTGAGGTGAGGGAGGTGGGGTTGGGGAGGGGGGACGGGGCGACTGGTTCCAGGTCTGCTCCTCATTTTCCCTGGAGGATCACCGTGGTGGCTCTGAGCACTGGGCCCCAACTCCTCCTTCGCTTCCTTGACAAGCAGCCCCTTCACTTGTGCTAGCTGCGTGGGGGCCTCAGTTTCCCCCTCCCGTGAGATCGGGGATTGAATCAGCCCCAAAGGTGCTTTGTGAGGGTATCTGTGAACCCCAGATGCCTCGTGAAGCACCAATGGCTATTCTAGAAATTGCTGTCAGGAGCACTTTTTTTTAAAATATTGGTGGACTTTTACTTATTCGTGCCTTCCCTCTCTATTCAGTGGCGTCTGGTGGGTCCGGGAGTCTGAGGGGACAAGTCAATTCCCAAGAAGGAAAAGGCAGAAAGGCAGATTTGGGGTTTGGTTGCAGGTGTGGAGATCAGGGCCAGCACATCGCGGGGGGGGGG